CCCGCAGTTGTGTCAAGCAACGGCAGAATATCGAAGAAGCGCGTGTCTTGACTGTTAGCTAATACCGGTGCTGCCAATATGGTACATAATTACATAAGTTATATTACCCTGTGGTTGCCTTTGGAGATAATGTAGGACTATAATCCGAAACGTCAGACCAATACACATTTTGTTCCAAAGATCCGTCTTCTCCTTCTGAACTGCCTCCTGCTACTCGCCTGTTCGCTTCTATCAGTTACGCTACTGTCTGCCTGTTGGCAGCTTCTGAATAGTATTCGGTTAGCCCACAGTGGCTGATTGACTTCTGCCAAAGTATTTGCATCAAATTTCGGTCTGCTATACAGTCTCAAAAACTAATTTCTAAGGAAATTAAAAAGCTCAAATTATTTTTTTTAAATTTAAGTACGTTTCAAAATGTCGGTTGAGACATGTGATAACACATCTTCAGACTTACGACACCACGACTTCCAGGGGGTACAGAAGTGCGATTGAATCTCCTACTAAAGTACCAGAGGCGCATCTTTTAAAGTTGGGGAGGAATTTGACGGCCTTATTCCACGCGAGATCTGCTAGGTTTTTGGCAAAAATATAACCCCATGACTTCCAGGGGGTACAAGAGTGCGATTGAATCTCCCACTTAAGTATCAAAGGCGCATCCTTTAAAGTAGGGGAGAAATCTGAGGACCTTATTCCAAGCGAGAGAGGTGCTAGGTGTTTTGTTAGTTTCCTATGGGGAGAGGGGGAAACCGATCTTGTCGGATTGCAGGATTTAGCCTCAAAGCACCACACACGGCTCGCCGATTTCCCACCCTGAAAATAAACATGTTGGCTGCATTGACAGCTTTGAAGAAGCCGCGGCCATGGCATAAAAAGCTCTCCGTGGGCTGAGAGGAGGAAACATGTAAAATCAGCTCAGTTGACGGAATACTACTTAGGAACAGTCGATTGGAATATTTATGTGGCAGACGATATCAGTGAACGCTGTAGAGTTTGTTTACAAGTTCCTTCTATGTGTCTACACAGTGCGATTAGTTTTCCGCGATGAAGCAGTCTGCAAAAGCGTTCTTTCAAATGGATGCTATATTTCGCCCGCTATGCTGGTAATGTTTAAAAAACAGGTTCAATCACGGTCACATTAAGAGACCGTACTGGAGAAACTTGGCGTCCGACCAATACCAAGATGGCAAATAGGGGGCATGGTAAGTAAGCAAACCTCGAGGTGTTTGATGAGGGATCTCTGAAGGTAACCAGACCGGCTGGTTTTGCAAGCCGTGTCTACCAGACCATCACGACCTGCCATCGAGTGGAAGAAGAGTTCTTGCGGTGGCATTGAGGTCAGGAAGCGATGAGTGCACATCCCACCCGCACGGGGTCTGATGTCGTAGGGTGGAAATGAGGGCAGCGTTCGACCGCTTAGCATCAGCGGTACACGCCTGCCTTCCAGCTCAATCTGGCCAAGAGCGACCGACATCTGTTGAGCATTAACCTGGGAGGGTGCATTGAAAAAAAACGTTTAGATTAGACTCCGTGCACACGTTCATGTTACATTTGGAAAGTTAAATGGGAAAACCCGTGTCCGCAGTAGTTCTTCACCGGGCCCATGCACTTACGTAGCGAGGCTAGATACGGTTTACTAGCGTCTCTTGAGTTACTAACACCTATATTTCCCACGCCAGCTGCATGGGTGGGTCGGTGTGTTTTAGTTATTGGGACTGGGGGAGGGGGGGAATATGTTTAGGTCAAGCACGCGAAGTAGCTACAAAGGTAGCGAATCCAGCGTTTCGTTATTTGCATACTGAAGTAAAAGCGTTCCGTCTTCCGTGGCCA